AAATAAAAATATATATATAATCTGTTCTGGTATGGATGCTGAACCTCTGGTTTTCACTTATTCTGGCTTTCTGGTTTTTTATATCATGCCAGATTATGAGTTTCACCCGCGGAGGAAGAAAGTCAGAGAGTGTTTGCCCTTCGGACAGGGAGCAGGACATCAATCATCAGTGTTTGTCTCACAGCCCCAAGCTCACTCTAGGTTGCAGTGCCCCAGCATGTACGCCATGATGCCCCACACTGTGGGCTACTATCCCTACCCATCCTGTTGTCAGTATCAGCCAATGGGCCTCTACTCCAGGCTCGAGATCCAAAGGTCAAGGTCAGTGAAATATTTAAGCCATCCAACGAGTGGGAACTATTTTCTTACAAGGCTATAAGCACACATGTTCACAGAATTCCCAATTCAATGACATTTGCTTTGACGCATTCAAATACTAGCAGTAATTTCTGATTTACTTTGCGTATATCAGGATTGTCTACAGGTACCAACATGGTAGCAGCTCCACGGAGGAAGTGAAGAATTACTACAACACTTTCCTGCAGAGGGATGAGACCGCTCTGGCTGCCCTCGTCGGGGAGCATCACCCAGCATACGTTAGTCATGAAGTCGTCATTAGCTCTACCACATCGGGGAGCCTTCAACAGCCTGATGTTGTCACCAGCCAACAGCCTCCAACCAGCAACAAAGTGGAGTGTATATGTGAGGATGATGTTGATGTTGTCGGACTTCTCTAGGTTCGGCACACACAAGGTCAAATAGGTGAAATAAACAAAGTGCCCTGTGACGTGTTAGTCTGCTTTTGTAACGAGTGACCAGGTGTAGCAGAACATTGGCAGAAGGACTCTGCTTCAGTGGGAGGTTTATTCCACTGTGGTGCCAAAATAGAAGAGCCTTGACTGAGATTGTGCATTATAACTAAATATTGCTTCTCCTATTGAGCTGGAAGGTTAAATTATTGATTATTGGGTATCTTCACACACAGAATGAAGCTGTAGTAAGTGGAACTTGTTAAGAGTTTCTGTCTCTCTATATTTATTCTGGTGTGCAGGCCCACTACCAGATGACCTGTGAGCGTTCATATGGTCAGAGACAGTTGTTCCCAAACCCCTGAGAGATTTATAGACAAGTTTATCCTTTCATACACTATTCAACTGCACACTGGATGATTGGTGTGATGCGTTACGTTTTTTAATCTTTTTTTTAGGGGAGAAACACAGTAGTCGAACTGGAAATAATATCGGTTTCTTTAAGTCATTCCTGGACGTGAATCATCTGATTCTTGATCTGTTTTAGGATGACAGCATGCAGATTTTGTTCTGGATTTTACTTTTAGGTTTTAAACACAGGACATTTAACAACAATGCAGTAGATTTCCAACTGTGGCAGGTAACTAAATACCCACCACACTTATCAACAACTCCCTGCACACTGAACAAAGACATCATGTAAAAGTGGATCCAAGCAGACCAATGACTGCTCAGACAAACCTCCCAGACAACAACCACCAGCCAATCACAGCTCACAGACGTCGGGCCGCGCTGTGATTGACACCAACGCTCGGCCAATAGGAAGCAGAGAAACCACTTTAGGGGGCGTTTCCAGGAAGAGAGCGGTTACATTTTCCTGTAATGGCGGACCAGGGAGAGAGCGAGACTATCGGGTTCAGCGACAACAGGTCAGATAAATGGCAACTAAGGTGCTACGATTAAACTTACTATGAAGCGTGAGCCGAGAGTCCGTACGGAGTCGGTCTGCGTTGTTGTTTGGGGGCCGAGAGGTCGCGATAAACAGCGGGATTACCTGTGAATGTAGCCACCTAGCTCCTCGCTAACTAGCCTGTGTTTCCAAGCGGCTCGTCGGTGCTCTCCGCTCGGGACACGCGGTAAACACAGGCAGCCAGATCAAACGCGGACGCATATTTTTCCTCCCTTCGCTGGGCTTCACACCTGCCCGGGAAAAAAACCGAAATTGTGTTCAGACGCAACTCTTGTTTGGGGGTTTTTTCTGTGTGCAAATGTTAATGTGCAACAGCCAGCGAGCTATGCTATGCTACATTCATTGGGCACACAACAACTCTCCGTGCTTTCTGTTTTGAATGAACTGGCTGTTTGGGAGATAGGCGAGGTTCTCCGACTGAGTGTTGGGGTTTTATATATGTATGCTCCCTTGTATGGCCAACAGGAAATCACCCTGAAGAATTCAGCGTTTAAACATGTGGAATAACACAGCTAACATAAACGTACTACACCCAAAAGCTCCTCATCCTGTTGGTGTTATTGTGACTTCCAGAGTGTATTTGTGCAGCTAAAAACTACCGTAGCTCACACTGCGTCCTTCTCGATAGCAAACCTCTAAGTTTAGTCTGTCTGGATTGTGAATAAAGTGTCACATTGTGTTGTTTTGTATGACTTGCAGTATGTAGATGTTGTTAATGTTCATAGTCAGTTGCATTAACTAACAATATAGACTAGACTTCATGTGCACTCTGATAATATGATAACTTTGCAAGTTGCCACACCTAGGTAGATGTTGTGATATTCGGGTAAACATCCTACAGTGAGTGCAATAGCCCCTTTTTATGTTGTAGAATTACCCACAGTTTTGTGTAGTAGTTCAACAGCAAATGAGCTTGTTTGTATTGATTAAAGTGGTGATGTTGGAGAGTTTTTTTGTCAGTGCTACTCAGTGATCTGCTACAACACTGGTTGTAAATTAAAAAGCAATGTAAACATATATCGTGAGACTTTTAGATTGTGATATGAATATGTGAAGAATCAAATCTCAGAAATAAGAAAACAATCTCTAATTCTCTACAGAAAATATACTTTGTAGATTTTTGTGTGAGAAAATCTTTCTCAGTCCTAATTTGTCTTCTAATCTGTTATAAACTTGTATTGCATTGTGAACCCACGATCATGAAATGTTTTGAATTGTGAGTTAAACTTGATGTTGTTTTGTTTCGCCGTGCAGAATGGTGCAGCAGGCAGTGCGGTTCCGCGGCCCTGCGCCCGCACCCGCGCCTGCCCAGACCCCAGTGTTACGAGGCCCTCCGCCACTCCTTAGGCCACCGCCACCTCCTTTTGGGATGATGAGAGGGCCACCGCCGAGACCCCCGTTTGCACGTCCACCCTTTGATCACAACATGCCGCCCATCCCACCACCAGGAGGCATGCCACCACCCCTCGGACCACCTCATCTACAGGTATTACCGTTTCCCATTCTTAGATGACATGAATGTTTTTCTTTATGGATGTAGAGATAAACTTTCATATTTCTGCTTTAAGCTTCATTCTTATTGACAGTTTGGTGATATAGATCACCATGAGGCCAGATTTTACAGTACCTATTCTACTGCGATCGATATCCTTTTAATATGTTGGAAAATAGGAGGCCATTGTTGCCAATTTTGCAAATCAATGAGCAGGTCTGCTTTATGGCAAGGTGACCAATTTTAGATGTTGTTTGCATCAGTGTCATGAAGCACTTATTGATTTACTGTCAAAAACAGACATTCGCACCTTTTCTCAGTAGATCACAGTTCATATCGGTAAGCATAATAACATTACACTGACTGTAATACACCATGGTAACCAAAATACTAGAAGCTCTGATTTCACCGATTAACACACCTTCATCTATACCCCGCTCAGACGCATTGACCCACTGTGGTGGTCTATTTGAATGGGTCAGCATACGTCGTCAGCAAAGCCTCTTTCACAGCTTCCCTCTTTGGTTAACTGGCATTTCTATCAAGGATGTAATTGGAAATTTGATGATACCAAACGGACAATCAACATTTAAATGACCCCATAAAAAAAAGGGAAAGATGAGGTGAGAGAAGACGAAGAGAGAGAAATACAAAGCATGCACATGTGAGTGAATGAGAGAGAAGGGGAGTGTGTTCACGGATAGACGGAGGTGAAACTGAAACTCGGCTTCGATCAGGAAATTATTCAGCAGAATTATCAGTGAAGTCCACTGCAGACTGTCTAATATGATTGGGTCCATCATCGCAGGTCCAACACATTACACCAGTGTCTCCGGTGGAAATGGTGCTGTTAACCTGTATACTGTGTCCTTTATTGCAGTGGTGGTTGTAATGTCACAGGGATAATGTCCGTACACTAACTGATGTTTGACTAATGTTTGACTAATTACTCCTAATGGCGGTAATCTACATATAACGGTTTTCTTCTTCTACTCTTTATATTCAAAGTCCTCTGATCAAGAGTATTCATTAAATAAGGGTAAATGCTGTGTGCAGTCAAGAGGAAGGGGTAAATCCTTCACCAGAGGTGTGATCTGTCATCCACAATTTGTTTTTGAATTTTTATCGATCGGTGGTACAGCCAAACAAAAAATTAATTTACGTCTGTACCACGGTTGTGGGGTTTGGCATGCTACAGCTGATCGACTCTTACTGGTGCACCGCCAGAGCTTTGCAGGTATAGCTCAACCTCTACAATTTCTGTTTCACACGTGTGAGTAGTAAACCAAACGAAAGGTCCTGTACCAAATGTTTCAGGACAAATAGACATAATGTTACGCCTCTACTATTAACCATTAGAACAAGACACAAAACAAAATCAAGTAGGAATATGACAAACAGTGTTTTATAATGTCTTCGGCTACCACCTTCTTCCTAATTGATTCAGTGCAGTGTGATTCTCAGTTGTATGATGACTGGCCACTTTCCCATACCCAATTAAGTCACATTTAGTTGTTTTTGGGTAATTTATATTCTTAACAATACTCCTGAAGGTCTGGAAATGTAATGCTGGGTCTCAATGTTTTGCTACAGAGACCACCGTTCCTTCCCCCTCCCATGGGGAACCTGCCGCCTCCTCCAGGGATGCTGTTTCCTCCTGGGATGCCCCCCATTCCTACATCTGGAACCCCTACACTCAACCCTGCAGAGGAGATCTGGGTAGAGAACAAGACGGCAGAGGGAAAGGTAAACGTCAACAAACAACAGACATGCACATAGCAGGGTCCCTATACTGGTTTATGCAGGCTGGAAAATATGGAGAATGAATTTATGATTTTATAGTATTTTAAACTTTTTCAAAAAGTATATTAAAATGTAGAAACATATCGCCCTCGAGCCCCAGAGGTTGTCTGATAATGTGGAAGTCCAAGAGCGAAATATTGTACTTTTATAAATCTAATACACGACTATACATTGCTGAAAGGACCCACTAACCCACTAAAGTGATTTGTTTCACTGGGGAATTATTGTACGCGCGCGCACACACGCAACCTGATCAAGGAAAATCCTGTGGTAAATTGTCTAATTATTATCTTTATAATTTTGGACTGGGAATTGGGCTGGTATTTTAAAGTAAGTCATTTTGATTATTACAATATTTAAAAGAAAATCCAGCGGTGTGATTACTGGGGTTGATGCTAAATATAACTTATACTGTAGTTACTCTTTGTCAAGTTAAGTGTTTTTCTTCTCTATGGTCCTTTCAACAGGCATATTATTACAATGCCAGGACCAGAGAGTCATCGTGGAGTAAACCGGATGGCGTGAAGATCATCCAGCAGTCTGAACTCAACCCTCTTCTTGTAGCAGGGGGTGCGGTGACGGGTGTGACTGCAGCTGCCAGCTCCAGCAGTGTCAACACTACAGCCAGCACAGCCTCCCCGACTCAGGCCCCGTCCACAACCCCCTCCCGCACAATAACCTCCAGTCCAGACTCCACCTCTGCCCCTTCCCCCTCTGTGACCATTGCAGGTAAGTACACAGTCGAATATCAAGCACACACACACACACACACACACACACACACACACACACACAAAAAAGCACA